ATTTTGATCTAATAAAAAAATATTGTTATATAAATTAATAATTACACTTTCTTTATTCATAATTGCCTTTTTGGTCTTACTATACTCTTTGCTTCGTTTCCATTAGTTGCAAAACTTTAAAATGTAAAATATCTCGCCTCAGAACAAGCAAAGTCTAACAATAACTAGTGATTATTGTAATACCTATTGAAGTTATTGTATAATTAGGCTCATTCAGTAAAATAATTCACAGACTTTACAAGTTTCAATGTACAACAATAAGAATTAGAAAGAATTATTTGACGTTCAAATTGAAGAAATATGTAGGGCGTTGGTGAAAGGCCTATTTTCAAAAAAGTTATCAAACAGGTTATCAAGTGACAAAGATTTCAGCAATGTGCCTTATATATTTGGTGATTTTTTTTTAGAACCCTACCGAAACCTCGTGCATGGTAGGATACCAGTTCTGCTGAATTAATCGTAATTTTCAATATCGATCTGCGCAAGTGTTTCCTTCTTGGTGTTAAATATACGATATAATACGATATATATAATACGATATATGAATGAATAAAAATTATGAATGAAGCAAATTATCTTGGCCAATAAGGAGTTAAACATATAAGAATTGATTTATAGGTTCACGTAATAAAATAAAAGCATACCCTGGTATGTAAATACATATATGTATGTATGCATGTTTTGCACTAAATAAATACATATGTATGTACATACATAGATAGCAATCTGGGAAACCCAAAAGTTTTGATTTTTCCATATTTTTTGTTTTGTATTGCTTTTTTCGTAACATTTCTTAGAAATTTTAGAAAAAATTCGCCCCTAAACAATTTTTTCCACGAAATATTTTTTCTTCCGTTTTTATTTTAATTACGGATAAATAAGAATATGATCATCTAATCTACATATTATGCGCATTTCAAATATTTCGTTATTGTTTTTACTGCGCCCATATACCACAACATAACAAAATTTAATATTACAAACCGATAAATTGTGGCTGTTTATAATTAAGAAAATTATTTTATTTTTATATTAAATTTTAATTAATTTATTAGTTTAATTTAAATTTATGTATTATGTAATTAGTAGATTGAGTACCAATATTAGTTATACGTACAATTAACTGAATTTAATAAAATTTAATAAAACAATTAATAAAATTTATAAAGCACTTTATCCAAAAGATACATAAATCTATTAAAATGCGTTATGATGGTTACAATACATAAAAAAATAATTAAATAATGGGCACATTCATAATAAATTTAATCTGAGATATTGGTGAAGAAATAATATTAGAATCCATAACACAGGTTCTGAAAACGAATTTTGAAATATTTTCCAAATAAGATGCATGTAGCGATCATTTCGTATTATATCAATAATAGAGGAAATCGAAATGCAAGACGAATTAATAAAAAAGTTTTACTTTAGATGCGCATCCGTAAATACATGTATATGTATGTACATAATGCCTTGCTGAGATAAGGTAGAGCTGATTTCAACTTACTGATGAGGGTACTAACGCCCAATGTCGCTTGGGGAAAATGACATGGATTCACTACAACGAATGACCATATATTTCGGGATTGGAGACGTATAGAACATGCTCTTTGTGCCTGTTCGTCTGTGATGAGTAAGAGCAAGCGCGTCCTAAAATCCTTCTTTTACGCAGGCTTCGAGGACCTGAAATGCTCTTGAAATTCATCAAGGCGGAGAGGCATTTCAGAATTTTCGGAGTTTATATTCCATGGGTGTTGTCGGGTGTTATTTTAATTAAGAAAGTAGTAACAGACGTAATTAAAATGTTATTATAACGCTTTGATTAGCGGTCGCTGTATCTTTGTCTCAAATAATTTTCCTTTCTTGAAAAAATTAAATTTTTTTAAGTTATATTGCTATTTAATTTACCCAACAGACTTAATACATGCTTACGGTAATGCAACAATACTTATGATTTCTAGAAGTTTAACCACCTGATTAGATGTATACTTTGTTGAAAAATATATGTATTTATCTATTAATTAAAGAATTAAAACTAATATTAAAAACATAATACACTTCTATAATTAAGTGCTCTTAATCAAAACCTCTTAAGCATGTTTATTTGAAGAAGATATAATATGTAAGTAGCTGTAAAATGAACAAATTAAAATTACATATGTACATGACATGAAGGTACATATTGGACATAAGTAGGCATAATATAGTTGAATGTGTGTAGGTACATATCTACATACTTATATTTATTTAAACTTTTTTAAACTTCATATTTTATTTTTATTTCCCTGATAAATGAGTTCATAATTATTTACTATCACGATTAAAATAAAATGAAGATATTAATAACGATAATATTGATAAAAATCTAAATAATCTTAAAGAACAGCTATACATACATACAGCTATACATACTATCCAAAAAATAATCTGTATATGGAAAGGTGTTTCCTGAAAAATCGGCCATTAGTAAAAGTCCAATTCAATATGATTTATTCATGTCGGGATGTCGATCTGAAAGATCAATGTCTCGTTAATAATAATTCATTTACGTTTCCCTACCACAGAGGAAGTGCATGTTAAAAACTTCACTTGCGAAATTTTGTATTTTCACATATTGTTGTGTGCCATATAACAATTGAATTTGTAATATGGCACATTTCTCACTAGCAATTTAAACTCCTTGTAATGACGATTTTTTTCTTAACATAAATAACGTAAATATGTTCTTTTTTTACAAAAATTTATCAATTAAATTAAAAAATCACTTTCTCATTGTGACTTCGTATTTCTTATTTTGAGTAGGAAAACTATAGCCGTCATCTTTATACGTTTGCGGCATTTAAATATTGGCTTGTAGTTACAATAAACCAACGAAAATCTGTGTATTTAAGACTTTTAAACAGGCTTTAACTTTTTAGTCTGGTAAAAATTTTCTTCCAGATATATGGATTGCTCCCAAATCTAATGTTATATAAAATTTAATTACATGACTTCTTATCTTAAAGAATGTAAAAGTTTTGTAAACAGACGCATTGGCAGATAGATGAAATGAAAACAGTAACCATATTCACGCACATACTCGTATTATTAGTTTATTTAACGGTATAGTGTTAAAGATTTTAACGGTATAGTGTTTGGTTAACGGTATAGTGTTTGGAAAATATTGATATTTAAAAATTATCGATAGTTCTTCACCTATAACATATTTATTGTAGTAATGTGAATGTATTACAAAGGTACTTAATAATATTTTTCAGGAAAAGTTGTATTAAAGATGTCATTTCTGAATCACGGGAAATTACCAATATGTATATCTAGTATCACTTTACACATATAATTGCATAAATGTCAAATTACATATTAAAAAATATATTAGTTAATAATTGTAATACTATATATGTAAGTATTTCATCTTAAATTCTAATAAATATTATTAGTTTCTATTTAATTAAAACAAGTGTTGAAGAATAGGTGCACCGTCATAAAATCCATTTTATTTTAATACTTATATATTAAAATAAAACTGTAATATTAACAATATTACAGTTTTAAAAAGAATCTTTTTAACTGAAATACTTTCTTTCATTTTCATTATTGTATAATAAAATTATCGTTTAAAGCTTTTTGTCAACCAAATACACAAAACACAGACAAAAACAGTTTAATTTTTCAAAGCTTATTAATTTTTAGTACATTCAAAAACAGTATTTAGAGCAAGCTAAAAGCTTCTTCAAAATTAAAAAAATTTTATAAGAAAAGTTTTTGAATTTAGCTGTTCTAAAACTTAAAGTGAATTACATATGCATATTTTCATTAACATAATTTTATTTTACAAGTTTGTGTCTACGAAAATGTATTGAATATTTCAATATATAGAACGCATGTATGTATGTATGTAAATATATATTATAGAGTATTTGTATAACAATTTTCATAATTTTAGTTACATATTCATAATTTTCTAAATAAATTTATAAGTACTTATGATTACATTACATAGATTTTAATTCAACTTTCCTTATTTTTAAAAAAGAGATTTTTTGTTCATTTTAATAGAGATTTTCATAAACGCAATACTGCAAAACAATAACTGCAAAACGCAATATTGCAAAAACATAACAGAGCTCTTTAAATGCAGTACTGCAAAAAAAAAACAACTACGAAACGCAAAACTACAAAAACATGGCGTGTTGAATATGCCATATATTTTTGATAATTTTATAAGAGCAAAACAGTTCATATGATTTAACTTCGCTACTCATACTTACATATTTCGCTAAATTGCAAAAATTTTGCAATATTTACGAGCAAACTAGATTTACAATTTGTTTATGAATATCAATATAGGGCAGTTTCAACTATATACTCACATTTATTAAAATGGCTAATATGTATTAAAAAAATAGTGGGACAAATTGTTTTAAATTAATCAATTAGATCAATGATTACCTATAGATCAATAATTACCTATAGATAATGATTACCTATTCACAAATAATTTATTTTTAATTTGTATTCTTTGGTAATTTCAAATAATGTCATAATGCGATTGTTTCAATTTTCATTTATGAGGTTTTTCTTTAATTAACAAGCGGTACTTATACCCACCCATTTTTTCTTTCTTACTGACTCTAATTAAAACCAAAATAAAATAAAACCGCAAAAAGTTTATTAAAATTGAAAATTTATTTTAAATAACTTACACGATAGCTAATAGGTACAATATATGATTTACAGACATCTTGGATTATCATTGGAATTATTATTTTTATTAGATTTTGTATTTTCAATAATAATTTATAATTACTAGCAAGTACTATTTACCTACATGTAACATACATACTTATACACATTATTGTTTGTAAGCATATAGAAATTTAGAAATTCGCATTATTGCATTTTTCTTCATTTCTAATTTAAAACACACATTACGGTTGATTCTGACCTAAAAAGATTGAGTTTGAAAAAAATTCATAAATAGTGATATAAAATCTAATTATCTTAGTAGTTGAATGAGGCACATTAGAAATTGTAATTTTTTCTGTAATAATTAAACTAAAATTAAATTAATTTGATTATTTTATGCAATTAAGAGCGTCTTTTTAAATACAAATCAACAGGAAGGGTTCAAGGGTTCAATGTTATTCGATTTTTTGAAATATACCAATTTTCAATTCGAAATGGCATCGTATATATTAATCACATAAGCAATTAAAGAAAACCTACATAATAATTATTTTTACTATTATTAATTAAAAAATTGTTCATACCAGAATATTATTACCTGACATTAATTCAGGGGCTCAGAAGCAAAGCGGTCTTTCCATCATGAATTCCAAAATTCTGTAATGGTTAGGTTACTTCGTTTCTGAGTCCTTTATAAATAAGATTTCTGCTTTTGAATAGATTTACTATTTTCTTACCAAAATTTCATAAATTTTCTTAATTAAAAATCTTTACATACAAAACTGCTACACGGATTGTTCTTTTAAAATTAGACTATTTCAAATGTGATTTAAATTTTTTATTTTATTTCTATATGTAACAAAAAAGTATAGAATTGCACCTCATTTTAGTACAAAAATTTTTTATTTTCTTGTCTTTTTTATTTCTACTGCATAAACTAGTTTATATGTGGATGCATTTATTATTCAATTATTCATCTTTTTAATAATATTAAAAGGGCTTCAATTTTGAAATTTATTTCAGTGTATTTTAAAACGTTTTTGAAAATGGATGGAAATAAATTAAAAAATAAAATAGCTTTAGTAACTGGAGCAAGTGTTGGAATAGGTGCTGAAATCACAAAAAGTTTAGCAAATTTGGGAATGATTGTAATTGGAATAGCAAGACGTGATCAACTTGTTGAAGTAAGAAAATTTAATTTTTATTTTAAATAATTCTTAAATATTTATAATCTAATTTACTTTACTATTAATTTGGTAATATTTAATAATCTCAATTAAACAAAATATAAATTTATAGAAATTAAATGAAGAAATTGAAAATAGTGGAAAAATAATTGCAAGAAAATGTGATGTTACAAATTCAGATGAAGTAATAAATACATTTAAATGGATACAAGAAACATTTGGAGAATTAAATGTTTTTGTTAATAATGCTGGAATGATTAAAGCTTCTTTTCTTATGAATACTAATACTGAGGATATAAAACAATTATTCGATTTAAATGTTGTTTCAAGTTGTGTTTGCACAAAAGAAGCCTTATTAATGATGCAAAAAAATCAAACAAAAGGTCATATCATATTGATAAATAGGTAAATTTATTACATATACTTATATATATATATATATATATAAACGTTATATCTTCTATATATCATATATATATCATTGAAATTCTGTATATACAATTTTTTATTGAGAAATAAAATCTTTATTTTAGTGTTCTAGGTCATCGAATTCCAGATGTTCCTGTTCCGTTATTTAGTGTGTATCCTTCTACAAAGTTTGCATTAACAGCATTATGTCAGACAATAAAACAGGAAATCAATTATCATAAATTAAGTGTAAAATTAACGGTAAGTTTGAATTCACTAGTTCGTCCGTAATAATGTACATAAACCCCCGCTCCCTCCATTGTATTTTTTTGATATAATTAATGTTTTTTTTGCAGAGTATTAATCCTGGAATGGTAGATACAGATTTTCTTAAAGTTTATCAATGCTATGATAAATTCCCAAAGTTAAAACCTGAAAATGTAGCCCAAGCTGTTGTTTTTGCCCTTCAAACTCCAGATAACGTTCAGGTTAATTTATTAATTAAATTATTAATATTTTGGTATTATTTACAATTTTTTTTTTCATTCTAGATTGATGATATAACACTTCAAGCAACAATGTATTAGTAAAAACAAAACATCACAATAAAACATAGTAAGAAATACTATCTCAAAGTATAAAATTCCGTATTATATTACATATATTTGTAAGCATAGTTATAGTTCTGATGAAAATATTCAAAAATGGATTTTTATATTTTTAACTTATATAAAAGCACAAATGATAATTTGAAGAAATTAAATATTTAAAATAAATAATAATTTACTATTTAAAAAAACCTATTTAAACAATATTTTGTATTAATTTATCTTAATTTGTGTTGAAGTATCTTAAAAAATGGGTTAAATCTAAATAATTACATATATTACAAAAACTATACCACCATCATTTTTGTAATAACTATTACAAAAATGATGGTGGTTATAGGAGCAATTTAATAGTTTTTCTAAGAAAACCTCTTTATACCATATAAAATCCATTAGATCCAAACAGAATGCCGCTTCGATTAAAATCGCTTGAATTAGATCTAAAAAAAAGCTCCTTTGATCGTTTCATATTCCCTAATTAATTTGCAATCAACCATTGTTATTTAAGGTCTAGTCTAATTTACAGGTTAATTCAATTCTAGAAAATTATCATAAATTCGATTGCTACAGAATTTATTCAAATTCGATGAATTTTTTGAAAAATTTTGCCAAAGTCCGAGAATTTCACATTATATTTTTAAATTATTATTTTCCTGTTCGATGAATGTTGAAAAGTTGTTTGAATTGTATTACTTTTATAATTTAATATGTTAGTTTGGTATGTAAATTTTAAAGAATCTCATATATTAAAAATAAATTCTTCAATTCATATCTGCGAACAACTATTGAAGAAGTATAAATATAATTCCATGTATACTGAAACTCGTGAATGTTCATAGTTTATTATCTTATGAGTAGATGTATATTCGAAATATCCTTTTTTGTCCTTTATACTTTTTAAGAGAACAACACATTTTTAACTGCGATAAGTTTACTATCCATCACTTCATTTACTGAGAGAACAACGAATTAGGTTTATTGAATTTAAATTAAAATTGAAAGTAGTTTAAACCAAAAATAAATTAAATTATATCATTACTATGCAAGACTTTTATTATTTCTTAATATTTCTTTTTTATTTAATATTCTTTCATTCTCATTTTTTTTAATATACATATAATTTCAAATAATTTTTATTTAAAATTTGTCAAATCAATATAAACTTATCCCTGAAGTGGTACATTATAAAATAATTGTTTTAAATTTCACATTCTTTTTTAAAACTTCTTAACTTAAGTATTGGTTCTTATAACATTTATAATTATATAATAAAAAAATAAAAAAAAAAAATATTTTAATTTTTTTTTTTTCGAGAACATATTATCAGTTTTTTATTGATCCAAAGTTACAAACATACTTTTAATTCATATACATACTTATAAGGTATTTCTGTTTATTACTTTTGTACAACAGTCTATTCTACATAATTCAAGTTATCAATTATGTGTCTGTTCATCTAAGACAATGAAATTATGAGCAAGTGAAATTATGAGTGAAAAATGTAATAAGTTGTTCCAAATGGAAATAAAAAATATTATTTTAAGCATAATTTGAAATACACATATAAAACAAAAGAAAAAAAAGAATAAGCAGCTAATAAAATGTTTATCGTAAAATTAAAATATTTAATATGCAAGGAATTGTGTATTTGAAAATATTGTTAAAAAATAAATTATGTTTATTTGCAAAGTATCAGTTCTATCATTGAATAGCATTATAATATGATATTTAAGATTAAAAAAATAAATTTAAAAATATGTTACAAAATTATTAAATATAATTATTTTTTTATTATATTAAAATCATAATTATATAATCGCTTATTTTTATACTTTTAGACATGGTTGTATAATACAGTACACTAAAATATTCATGTTGTTTAAGTAATCAAAAAAATTACAATAATAAGTTAAAATAAAATGCAGAAGATGTTTAATCGCAAATATTTAACAAAACTAAAAAAAAAGCGGTTCATAAAGAGGTTCATATTAAGCGTAACAATAACTATATCCCTTCATGTTTCTTGAATAAAGTAATGTTATTTTAGAAACAAATGCGAAATGCGAAACAAAATTAAATCAAATCAGAAAACCTTTTGGAATGCTCATTAAATTTTGCAGCCGGAGCAATTCGCGCCAGTATTAGTTTTAAATTAAAACAACATATTATCATATGATTCTATACCTCTAGCTTAGACCCCTTATTGTTCGAGATAAATGAATATTTATAGTAATAAATAATAATATAGTGTTAATAATACATTATAAACACTAAATTTAATTCTTGGACCAATTTACAATTAAAATTAATACAAGAAAAATGTTCTTATTCACTTCAACAAATCCAATTAAACAAAGTTCCAATGAAAGAAATTTTTTTCTGAAAACTCATTATTACAAAATAAACTATTATATACATAAAATAAAATTAAGACTTTATTTGAAATTTCTTTCATTCTAATAAATAATTTAGAAAAAAAAACTGAATAAATTTTAAATTATTGACTTTTATCATAATTCTAAAAAATAAAATTCTGCAATTAAAAATTTATTTTAATTTATATTAAATACCTATCTATATATAACATTTTACCAATATACATAATTTCTTTTAAAAATCAACTACGTATACATTCAAGAGTTTCAAAGACGGTAAGAATTTATTTTTTAGTTTATTTTTCATTTTTTATTTTTCAATACAATGCTGGTTTCTTTTTTGTTTTCTTTATTGTAAGTAATTGAAATCATAAATAGTAATTTTCATGCATAATGCAATAATGTTGAATTGCTGCAGATGAAAAATTTCGTATGTGGACTTCTAATCCAATAATTAGAATATAATGAATGTATATACAATATAGGATATTATTTGATATTACAATATATAATACAATAATGTATAAAATGTGTGTAAAATATTAAGCAGTACTTATACTTAACTACTTATTTTTCTACAATTTACAAATTAGTACTTAATATATTAGTTTATAAAATAAAAAATCTAATATTAATGTAATTAGCAGCAGTTCGATTTATTTTTTCACTTCTTACAAATCTTAATATCCGCCTTTTTCTATTTATCAATTAAAATATTTTTTGTCAGTGCCGGATTTTGTGATTAGAAAATATTTAACATTTAAGTAGTAATTATTTAATTTTTGGAAAATATTTACATGTATTGAGTTAATTAATTCTTTAGTTAATTAATGCCAAAATTTCATAATTTTGGTTACATAATTTACATTACATTTATAACTAAAAAGAACTTAATAAGCAAAAAAAAAAAAAATTAAAAAATAAAAAACAAACACAAAACGAAATAATAATGTTAACAATTAAAATCTAAAGGTTTTTTTTATTGTAAAACTTTGTATTATATGAGTGCAGGAAAATTGTGATTTTTTTTTTCATATAAAAATTTTAGAATACTTCCGAGAGCATGATATTTAGCCATATAGCTCGTGTGTATGTCTTGTAAATTTTTTCTATTTAATCTTTTAAACACATTTATTTTAAAAGTGATGATAGATGTCAATAGTTGGAATTAAAACTGATAGAAATATAAAGCAAATAACCAGTTAACATACTTTTCGGTTACTTTAAACCCTTAGATCACTTTCAATATAAACGATCCTTATAATTAGATATATATTATGTGGCACATTTTATAGTGCTAATTAAATAGTGCTATTGAATAAAATGTTAAATTTCTACATGTGTAAAAAGTATCATTGTCCATTTTAGTTAACATTTCTAAATGAATTTTTCAGAAATTTAATAAAACCAATAAAATTTATATTGCAATTTAATATATGTATATATTTGCTTACGCAGGTCTTAAAAAAACATTTATAAAATAAATTTTATAATGATAATAATGATACATATTACTTATTTACTGTACTACAATTGAAAATTTTAAGTAAATTTAGCAAAAGATGTATTATTAAATAGAAAAAATACTAAAAATTGAAAAATGCATTATATGCAATTCGACTAATATAATGCACTCTATACAATTCGGCTTGTCACTACAAAAGTAATTCAGAGAATTTTCGAAAATTCAGCTTAAATTTAAATCTTCATGAAAATGAAAGCATGTTCGACAAATCAAAACTTCAAAATCTTCAAATGTAACATGTTCAATGAATCAAAGAGATCTAAAGATCTTTACAATTTTTAAATTAGAACATTAAGTTCATATCTAAATTGTCGAAAATTCTCTTATTTTATTAGGTGACATTAATTCTTCTTTCCCCTATAATTAAATACATATTTATGTTAAACACGCTTTCAATTATCATACAATTAATTTCACGACACATTCTATATTTTTCTAAATTTGTCACTCAAAAATAATAATGCAAAATAAAGTTAATTAACAAAATTTGAAATTTAAACAAAATTACCCTGAATAAAATAAAAATTAACTTATACAATTTCTTTTTACATTAATTTTATTTTTATTCTTCTTTCTCTTTTAATTAAACTGATATTAAATGCAGTTACTAATTCTTTTGACTAAAAATTAAAAAAAAATATATATATATATATAATTAATATAAGACTAAACTTTTTGTAATAAATATGAAAAAAAAACAAAAAAAATGAACTTATGATGAATGCTACTATCATTGCTGAAATTTTGATGATGGAACATTACCAAAATATTTTGGTGGCGGCATCATTAAAAATTCAGAGATTTTCGCTTTTGTTTTCTTTTGTTGTGAAACAATTGGTGATGTTTTTATTGGCGATGAAACTAATAAAGTTGAATTTGATGTTGGCAACTGTATATTAGACGAATGACGTCATTGCTTTTTAGAATCTTGTTGAAGTTTTGGAGTTTCGATGTTTGATTGCGTTGTTTCCTGAAAGTAAGAAATTTTATTATAATGTAATTATAACAGTTGTAGCAAAAATTAAATGTCATTTTTCTATACGCAATTTATTCTACAAAATGACTGTTTATGATAAGTTTTATAATATTTATATATAATTAGACCCAACAAATTGTCACAAGTTCAATCAGAAGGCTTTTTTAAATAACTCAGTTGAGTGTAGGCATAAATCTCGGAAAAACCAGTTTAATATTAACACGAAAATTTTGTTCTCCCTTGGAAGTTACTCAACTTACATGATTATACTATATTCACCCACTTTCTTCCCAGTAAACAAAAAGATACACAATCATGGTACTTATTTTATACACATTGACATAAGTTTTCTAAAAGTCAAGACATTGGTAATGAAAAAGTTTATGAATAACACAAGTCATTCTAAGTCTAGGAAAATTTTCCTCTCTTCATTTTTTTTCTTAAATTTTTTTTTTTTTGGTTTTCAAGTTAACAAGTTCAATTTCAGGTGCTTTATTCATTCAAAAATAAGAATAAAAGAATCAAAATTTATTGAAAGTTTTTATTCCCTTTTCATTATAGTTTCTTGCAATATGTTTCTATTCTTAAGAAACATTAGGCACATGCACAAGAATCACGTGTAGGCTACATTTAAACACCATAGTAGGTATCACCAAACATATATATATATATATGTATAACATTAGCAAGTAAATGATGTTAGTAAATAACAAATTTTATTTTTAATTAAAGCTTTCCAGTGAAATTATTTTTTTTCTCTATCTAATATGCATACATTATACGTACACAAAATGTTATATACTCGTAGGTACAAAATGCAATTACAATGTCACCAATATTATTTTTATTATTCATTAAGAATCATTTCTGTATGCAATTTAACGCATACAGTTAAAAATTTATAAATTTTTCATTTACAATTTCGAGGGTTTTTGTTAAAAACAAAGTAATTAAAAGAGTTGTTACTTCGGACGTTATATAAATACGAAAATTGAACAGATAAATTTTTACAAAAAAAAAACTTCTTTGCGCCTAACTCTATGCATTTTTTCAATATTTTAAATCAGTAATCAAAAGTACAAAAATTATTAACCTATACCTGCAAGTCTCTATTGCAAACAAGTAATTTTTGAGATTAACCCTTCATACGTATACATAATTATAAAACACGACAATCAAGTAGGTGAGTATGGTATCCAGCAATGTGGTTTTTCTGCTATAGGAAAATAATTTAAAAACTACTTTAATATCAAACTATTGAGAGCAAGAAAATATAAGGACAAAAATTCTCTTAGCATATCTATTAGGCGTCGGTACAACCACATTATGTTTGAAATTAGTTCTAATAATACCCCTAAATGCAATATAATCTTAACATCAAAAAATAAATAAATCCTAAAAACAAAAAAAATTATCTTATATGGCTTTCCATTTTCATTTAATGAATCAACAATAAATAAATGTAATAAATAAAAAATAAAAATATCAAATACATAATGTGTATTTTGAATTTAATAAGATTTAACTTAAATCAGTGATTAGTGTATGTGTACAAATGTATTAGACATAACAAAATGTTCACTTTCAAACCTAAAGAACATACATACATACATATATGAAAAACCCATGAAAACATTTTTGAACCATCCACAGTGTTCCTTTATATTTAATAACAGAAAAAATTATATATTTAAAATGTATGAAAGCGTTCATTTAATACAAATTGTGTGTAGGGAACAACAAAAAAACACGTGACCATGTATGATATTTTTCCCCTCTTTCTGCATAAAGTAATTCAAAATATCTGTATATATGTATTTAATAATGCAAATGCAACACCTTGTTTATTAGCACACATATGTATGTGATACGAATACACCTACAAAGCAATTCTACTACAGTTTATTGTCTGATAAAACAAATTTCATGTTGTATAACTCTTAACTTTTGAAAGCAAATAAACAACCACAGATACAACAAAGGAAAAATAATAACTAAGCTTATTAAGCTTAAATAAAATATCTTATAAAAAACATTAATCACTTATTTAGAATTTTGATTTTCATGCATTCGGGTCGAAAATTTAAGAAAAATTTTAATTCTTTTCAATTACTTAATTAACATAATTTATTAATTAATAAATTGTCATATTTTAATAATTAAATAAATTATAGAATTATTTTAAATTGAAATAAATAAAAGCGTACAATTTAAAAAGTAGTTATTTTTAACCCTAAAACATAAAAAAATTACTTTTATAATGTCACCCGTCGATGAAAGTATTGAATCAACTATTACAGTATTATGGTTTCGACACGGTTTACGATTACACGATAATCCAGCTTTAATTGATGCCATAAACAATTGTAAATTAAATAATAGTAAATTATTACCAATTTTTATATTTGATGGTGAAACAGCTGGTACCAAAATAGTTGGTTATAATCGTTTGAAATTTTTGTTAGATTCATTGAATGATTTAGATAGAAAATTTCAACAATATAATGGTCGTTTAACTATAGCTTATGGTGATCCAGTATATATTTTTCGTCAACTAAATAAATATTTGAAATTAAATAAAATTTGTTTTGAACAAGATTGTGAACCAATATGGAAATTACGTGATGATAAAGTCAAGGATTTATGTAGAAATGAATTGATGATAAATTATGAAGAAAAAATTTCTCATACTTTATGGAATCCACAAAAAGTTATTGAAACAAATGGCGGCATACCACCGTTAACATATCAGATGTTTTTGGTAAATATAACAATATCGTCAATTATATTATTTATATAATTCACGATATTAGAATAATATGAAATTAAAAACAATAATTTATTAAAATTTTTTTTAAAAATAAGTAATCAGTAAAGCTAAAAAGGTTAAGAATTAATTAATTTTTTTAACTTAGCTTTAAAAATTTTATAAACATGCACAAATTTATGTCCCCGGATTGAGACTTTAAATTAATATCATTAACAAAATATGTAAAACGTATCAAATTATTTAAAAAAATTAATTTTATTTAATATTTATTTTTAATTATTTTCAATTTAAAATAATTTTTTAATAGTTATAATATTAAATAATTTGTTATATTTTTATTATTATTCTCTTTCAAGCATACAGTAGAAGTTATTGGTTTACCACCGAGACCTGCACCTGATCCAAATTGGACTGATGTAAAATTTTGTATATTACCAGATAATGTTAAACAACAAATGAATATTTATGATAAGGTATTGGCATTATTTATATTTGTTAACTCTGAAAGAACTGAATTGTAATTAAAACTATTATAACTCTAAACAATTTTATCTTAAATCAATCTGACCTAATTAGTAATATAACTAATTGCCTTATAAATTTTAACTGTTTAGGAAAAATCATTAAGAACCTTCTATCAGATGAAAGCTTATAGTATTTTTTTTGTTGTTAATAGATTCCCGAGCCTTCAGATTTTAATATTCATCCAGAATTTCCTAGCATTAAGCAGTTTAATAATTGGATTGGAGGTGAGGAAAAAGCTTTAGAACTATTATGTCATCGACTGAAAGTTGAAGAAAATGCTTTTCAAAATAATTATTATATGCCTAATCAAGCGATACCAAATATATTAGACGAATCTAAATCAATGAGTCCGCATTTACGTTTTGGATGCTTATCTATTCGAACCTTATATTGGGCCCTTCATGATATATATAAACAAATTCAAAAAGCCAAAAATTTTCCAGTGACAAAGAATTTAAATAATGTCCACATTACAGGGCAACTGATATGGAGAGAATATTTTTATACAATGTCTGTTAATAACATTAATTATGACAAAATGGAAGATAATAATATATGTTTGAATATTCCCTGGAGGTATCCAACAAATACTGAATTAGAGAAATGGAAATTTGGAAAAACTGGTTTTCCTTTAATTGATGCATCAGCAAGACAATTGTTATCGGAAGGTTAGCATTTGATTAATAAATTTTTAAAGAACGTTTTTGGTATTTATTTAATTATTTTTAAAATTTTTAGGTTGGATTCATCATATTCTTCGAAATACAGTTGCAAGTTTTCTCACCCGCGGTGGCCTATGGATTAGTTGGGAATTTGGTTTAGAACATTTTTTAAAATATCTATTAGATGCTGATTGGTCTGTGTGCGCAGGTAATTGGATGTGGATATCATCATCCGCTTTTGAGAACTTATTAGACTCTTCGAAATGTACTTGTCCAATTGCTTTATCTAAAAAATTAGATCCTAACGGAGATTATATCAAAAGATATATACCTGAACTACGCTCTTTGCCTGTTCAATATATGTTAGTATTTCATGCGATATAATTTTCGAAAAAATTAAACAATATATATTTTCAGACATGAACCATGGAAAACACCAAAAGATTTACAAGAACATTGTGGATGTGTCATTGGAATAGATTATCCAGAGAGGATGATCGATTTGGATTTGGCTTCAAAGCAAAATAATATTGCAATGAATGCTTTAAGAAAGTCTCTCTTAGCCAGTGGAGTACCAGATCATGTCCGCCCATCATGTGAAGAAGAAATAATGAGATTCTTTTCGATTGTCTAAGTATAAAAAGAAATTTTAACAGCATTTGTATGTTAAATATTATGTATTGTAAAAGTGTCTAAAATGTAATATGCATGTATTGAAGAAGTTGTTTGTTTACAAACAATTTACAAGTTGAAAACACAAATTCGTATTTATTCTCTTATGGAATTATACTGTTTTCATTAAATGTATGTTTCAAAAAGAGTAATTGAACTCTTTCAAATAACAAGAAAATAAATTGTATGTTTACTTACCCCCAATTTTTTAATTTGTTCAAATTCTAAAGTTTTATTGCAAACGTCTTTAATTTGACCCCTACTTTCGAATTTTGTTTCATTACTGCATACACTCACAGCTTCTGTTGTTTCTGTAAAATTATTTTTAGAAAAATTAGAATTCGAATTCATATTTCTCATCGTCAAGTTATCATTTTCTTTCGCCCCACTTAATAATGGTGATATTAGTCGAGACGATTGTAGAACTGATGGTGGTGGTGGTGGTCCATCTGAAGAACCACCCCCTCCCCCTCTTTCATTTAATAATATGCTTTCTTTATTAATTTTATTCTTTGATGTGTAATTAACTGGTGAAGCACTTCTACTTTTATTATTATATTCTGTTTTATTTGTAATATATTTATTTTTATTTACCGTTACAATTTTTTTATCACCTGAGGTGGATGATGGTACGGGAAGTTTTTCATCAATGAACTCAACTGAATCAGAACTACTGCCTATGCTTTCAATTGTTTCGCGGCGATTAGAAATATTTTCAGTAACAATAGAACCCGAAGGTGGTTCAGTTGATCCTGTTTTAGATTTTGAATTACCATCCCGATCTCGATTTTTCTTTTTAGATTCTTTTTTTCTACTGCTAGAACTACCACTGCCACTGCTACTACTGCTGCTGTTGCTACTACACATCTTTTCGTTATTGTTATTATTATTATTACTACTTTTAGCGCAATCAGTATTGCTCATACTTTTATTATCATTATTATTGTTATTACTATTATGGTGTTGGTTACCAGTTTTATTACTATTATTGCCTAACAATTTATTTGATGTTTGAATAATATCGGTTGTATTTTTGAAATCATCAACATTAATAATATGGGTAGTAGATGTCGAACCCGAACTAGAACGATTAGTAGATGTTGTAGAAACACTTGATACTGTTGCAGAATTTAATGAAGTAGGTGATGTATTTGATATTATACTATTTATACTGTGATCGGTACGTTTACTAGGTGATATAATATCAACGGTTATACTGTTTTGTTTGCTAGTTGAATTCGCTAATTTATCTACTTTATTATTATCATTGTTCGAATTACTATGTGGAACTTTATCAATGCTTATTTTGTTATTACTGTTAAGAACATTAGATGGTTTTTGAGATTTACTTAATATTGGTTCTTGTTGTACGACTGGTATAATTGAAATTGAATTTTCTGGAAGTTTTTGAGGCACTTCATTTGCAAAATTAGGTTTACTATGGGCAGTTATAGATGACGAAATTGTTACTGAAGACAATTGTGACATTTGATTTGTTGTGGTTGATGAATCATCATTGACTTTCACATTAACAGACGGCGACGAAGAACCTGTTGTTATCATACTCTCTTTCGAAACAACAGCAGCAGTATTCACTTCTTGCAACTTGTCTAATACATTTGATGAACTAGCAGCGTTTAAGTTAATTTTCTTTGAATCTTTTAATTTTTTTGATTGGTTTTTACGTTTTTCTAATTCTTTTTGTAATTCTTCTAATTTCATCCAACCATTAGGCCATATTGGTACAACCTTATCTCGAAGATATGAATTGACAAAGTCTTCAAACTTTTCCTTACGTGTTCGAAGAACTGTGTACGATGTCCAGCGTGTTTGATATAAATCAAAAAGCAAATTCCTTAAAATATAATTTTTAATTATTATAAATTTTACCGTAAAATTATAAAAAATACCTCATAGCATCATTCCATGGAAATTTTTTTCGAGGTAATTTAAGAGAGGGGTCTGGCTTTTCTAACTCAGAAGAACTAGCTTTTGCTCTGCAATTAATTAAAAAAATTGTGCGAATGAAGTACAAATTTTATTATTTTTTACAAATACCTGAGCTCCGAAATTTGTTTATATGTGGCTTCGTAACTATTTATAACGGACGGCATTACTTTGGCAATCGCATTTTTCAATTTAATATAAGCCTTTTTAATTTTTGATTTTTCCTGTTTAATTCTCATTTGTTTTCCTTTTTTTATCAAATAATATTTAGGTAATTCCATTTGATACTCTAGGTGAGCAAATATTTGATTTCGAATTTCTTTGTCCAAGCATGATGCGTTATCGTCGCACCTTAAATGTATAATAAATCCATGTATGTTTAAATGACACAAAATTTTTGTTATGTAAGAATGTATGCATACATTGTTTTTTTATTTGGTTGTGTTACAATGAATTTTTATGTTAAATAAACAAATTGTTTTTGAATTCAAACAATGTTTTTGAAACAAATTTTTGAAAATTTTAAATGTTTTTATGAAAAAAAATATTATTAAAAGTAAATATCTAAAAATATTTTACCTAATAAAAACTTCGGAACTTTTTTCATCGAATCGAAACTTTTTCCCAGTTTTGATTGCACATTTAGCAAATTCTATCAGTTCACTTATATCTGCTAAAATTTCAGATGATAAATTATCAGGCAATTTGGTATCACTGCTCCTTAGTCCTATAAAAAAATTTAATAATTATAAAATTAATTTAAAATTGTTTTTTACAATTACTTTCGACATCTTCTTCATCAGTAGTTTTATATTTCTTTTTAGATGGACCAGAATCAGAGCCACTGTCCTCACCAGTACTTTCACTAGAATCATTTCCACTTTTTACAACTCCATTTTGCAAAAATTTTTTATCATCTTGCATTTTTAAATAATTATCTCGTTTTGCTTTTAGCATATCTTTGACAGTTGTGGTTTTTAAGGTTGGTTTTTCTTTTCCATTATCAGAATTAGTACCGTCATCACCACTTTTGGCGTTGTTATCTTTAAATACCATGTCCTCTTTTATTTTTTTAGATTCCCTTATTTTAGATTTAGATGATGAAGATTCCTCACCACTTGATTTTTGTTTTTTATCACGATGACCATTTTTGATTTTCTCCTCTTGAGTTTCTTTGCGTTTTTTACTGTTGGACTTTTCAGAAATATCAATTTCGTCATTTACATCTATATTTTGACTTGCCACACTATCACCATCTTCATCAGATTCTTCTGAAGAACTTGAGAGAACTCGCTTTTTAGATCTTACTCTTTTAACAATTTCTTCAGTTTCGATTTCATACTTTGTTAATTTAGTAAATTCCAATTGACCAGAATTAATATAAAATCCTCCAGCTATCGTTTCTACTTCATCAGGTATTAGTTCATCATACTAAAAAATAATCATTTATAAGCTTATTAAAAATACTGGTTATTGATTAAATTGCTGGTACATTACCGCTTCAGTATTGTCTATAAATGAATCTGATTCATCATATCCAAGGCCTTTGTCACATAAATCATTATGTTTCGTTTTTCTACGACCGCTCACATAGCTCTTACCATATTTTTCTTCCATTTCCTTTGCAATTCTTGCAACATCATCATCGTTCTCTTCAAACGGATCGGATACACCATTTGTTTGAATTTGTTTCAATTTCTTTTGTTTTTTCTATAATGAAAAAAATTTCATTTTTTTATTTTAGTTCTTGAGAATAAAATGAGATTATTATGTAATTCTTTTTGGGTTTTCTAACATTAGAAACTAAATTTTTTTGTTGTGCCTACGCAATTTCGGAAAATAAATGTTCCCGAATAGGGAACTTTAAAAAAATTAATATTTCTTTTTCTAAACAATCAATTCGCGGTACAATATGTATAGTAAATAGCATTAGAAACAACTTCAATGTTAACAAGACTGGTATGTAGAGGAAAAAATGTTACAATCACAATTTGAGAAATGATGACTTGGAAGAATACATATGTAAGAACCTAGTACCTATGTATTTTAAAAAATGATTGCAATAAATAAGTTTGTTCTGACATTTTATTCAAACGTACTTATAGTGTTCGAAAAAAAGAAATTTTATGTTGTGATTTAGGCAACTGGTTTATTGCATACTTTGTCAGTACTTGTCTACACATTTATATACATAATTTTTTCTTTAAAAATTATCTTCTTAATAAATAAGAAAATGTTATCTTTCTCTTGATATATTCACAAACAAAAATACAACAGAAGAAAAAGAGCTAAGACTAAAATACCCAAACACAACAAAACTATAATAAATTTACTTTATAATATACCTTTGCACCTGCATATACCTTTGTAAATGATTTGTTTTTTTTTTTAAATCTATAATAACTAGCACATTTCATATGTAGTAAACCTTATGGTATAATAATAGAACTTGCAGCAATTGACAGACGGAGTACCAATCGCCATCGCTTTTGTTTCTCTACAGCCTCACTAGCTAAAGTAATTTTACCTATCTTTTACATATTTTACCATATGAACTTTGTATACAAATACAAGATAAGTAAAATTACTAGCAAGCAGTATTTGTAATGATTAAACACTAATATTTTTAAGAAAAGACCTAATACAGTAGGTAAGCAGAAACCCTTAAAATATTATAAAATTAAAAGCAGTTAATAATATTTTTCTATATATTGACCTGCCCTAAATTCGAAATTGAAAAACAAATTGGCGCCGCTCTGTGAAAAGAGCATACGGATAGAAAAGAAGCTTTAAGTTTAATTAATATTATGTACCTATCTATCTATCTATCTATCTATTAATAGAATTAACTTTTTCCCTTTTTTCTAACGCAACATTCTTTTTTGTACCTAGGTAAGTATATATACCTACATATCTGTACTTATATATATATCATTATTCTCGCAAAGTTTTCGATCCTTTTTCGCTTTTTACTATCAAATAAACAACAGAAAAAATTAAACCAGAACTAGTAAGAAGGTTGATATGAATCCAAAGAGATAAGTAAATAGGCAGCTATGTGTATTTTCCCATACACATATTCATTATATTCATTTGAAAAACATTCGTTCGTAAACTTATTATTAGAGTCAGAAAGTTACAGACGCACATATTCCCATACACACAAATGTATATCTATACGTTTAAATTCATATTTTTTTAATTTTTAAATTTATGTAGGTATTTATGTATGAAGTAATGTGTTTGAAAACAAAATAGTCCGCGAAAATTAAATACAACATTTTTTTTTTTTTTTGCTTTGTTTTCCTTGAAATGACTCACTCACCTTTTCAATATGCATCATTTTAGAGAAATTGAATTCTGGAAATACTTTTGAATCCGGTTCAAATAATTCCAAATCATATCTAAATGTTTTGTTTTTTCCGCTATTAGAACTGTTAGAACCAGTATTATTTACAGATTTACTTGTACTAGCAGTTACACTACCAGTCCCAAATCCTAATAAAAATAATATTACAATATTTAATAATGATTTAAAGAAATCATAAATTATTAATTTTGTACCACTGTTTGCATTAATAGAATTAGTTGATCCTGTTTCACATGATGCAGCTGTAATTCCGCTACCCCCACTAATTAAAGCAATTGAATTTTGCGAAGTATGGGCTGATATTGTGGTGAATTGAACACGTTTTATTTCAGACATCTTTACAAACTATGTATTTATTTATATATATATATATGTATGTGCATATATAATATAATAAATATGTATGCACATAAACTAGCAAATTTAAATTAGTGCTTATGAATAATTTTTATTTATTTTTAAAAAGAACATTTTACATTTAACTTTTAACTATTTCCAAATCTTTTTTTTTTGTTTTTTTTTTTTTTTGCAATAAGTTTGTAAACAATTGCTTTTTTTTTGTTTTAAATAGTTAACATGGAAAAGTGGTAGCCATTAATGTGCAATCTTATATTTTTTTTTTTTGTTAAGTACTTTACGAATTTTCCAAAGTATGCAAAAAAAATGAAACAATAAAAATTAAACCACTCATACATTTAACATCTCTTTACAATTATATATTTTATCTGACACTATGATCATTAAAAAATGTGCCACGAAAAGAGCCTAAATTCCAAAAAAGTAAAAAAAAAAAAAAGTTTCATCAAAATAAATGAAAAGCATATATGCAATCACAGCATCCTTGATTAAACTAATAGGATTTTTTAAAGGTTTTTATTATATTTTCATCAATCCCTTCACATTTCCTTTATTGAAATCTAATAATATTTATGATTTTAATGCTAAAAACCGCGTTCTAAAATTCCGTGCTGCGAACCATAATAATACTTATCATTTTCAACATTTTTTTCTTTAGTTTTCATTGAATGCAATTAGGTTGGGTTATATGATACTAACACATTTACATTTTTTTTTTTCACTTTTTTTCATAAAAAATAAACTATTTTATCGGTTTCCTTAATAATTTAATAAAAAATTTAATAATTGTTTTTTTTTAAATAGAAAAACACTATAAAAATGATTAATTTATTTTAAGAACCGGCTAAATTATTTATTGCGATTTCTAGTAATTACGAGGATAATTATATTTTATATTGATAAATTTTAAATGCCACGAAATTTTAGAAAATTTTTTTAATGTGACTTCTTTCTACTTTTTAATAAGCACATACACAAGGTAGATAGGTATCTGAAAGATTTTTTTGAAGAGGATTACACTTCATTTGACTTGGATGTCGAAATACGATATTTTATTTTGAAAAATACATCAAATTAACACTTCTAACAGTTGTAAAATGAAAATATTTTGATAACACTTTAATTAAAAAATCATTATAAAATTTATTAAAATAAAACCGCAAATTATTTTGACATTTAAAAACAATTTTTTAAATTTTATTTTGAATTGAATTTACTATGATGAAGAATTTGCTTTTAAAGCAATGAAATGACAGACAGGCGCGAAGCCAAAAGTGCATCATGACAGATGTCAAAATCATTATAATAATCGATTATAGCGTTCTAATTGGGAAAATTTTGAACTTTTGCATATGTTTTTTTTTTTTTGTAAATTCGTTCATTAACAATATTCGAGGCAATAATTTTTTTTTAAACTTTTTTATTAGAATTGAAACAATTAGTATTATATACACATAAATATGCACATCAATAAATAATTCAAATGATAAATAGTAATTTTCAAAAAAAACTATTGAATAAAATTCACAAGTAGGTAATTTTTTTTAAAGAAAGTCTTGTAGTTATACTACTATGTCTATGAATATTTTGAATTTGTTTTATTTCGCTATGATACATATGTACATAGTTGTGGGTTATCAATTAAACAATACCCATAAAAAAATAATCAATACATGTTTTACTTTTTTAACAAATAAACAATATAAACAATACATAATACATGGAAAATGTTTTATTGTGTTCATTTTACATCGTGTCTTATCCATGACTGTATTCATTATATCTTTAACAACGGCTTTTACATCAATAGTTTTTCCACAAACTTTATTGATAAGGGAAGCAGATGTCAATCAAATAATGGAAAAGTAATGATGTAAACACAGGTATTTCTGTGTTCTTATAATATGAGAATCTTGTTTGGAATTTTTTTTTATATGTTTTTTTTACATTATTGTACATAATATACAAATTTTATGATTGTTTTTAAATATTATAATAATGTTTTATTTAATTAATATATTTCTTAGGACCTTTTTAGAATAGGTGAATTCGCAAACTTGTCGAAATCTCTCTTGAGGAATTTACTAGAATTTGGTACATAATATATTTCAAGTAGTTTTTTTTGCGAATTATTTTATGCAATGGCAATATTTTCCTATAAATTCTTATTTTTAACTCAAATTTTCAAAATTCTTTATATTTTTAAACAAATCACCAAATTTTTATCGAATTCATCATACTAATTTTTGTTGAATAAAATGTGCGCTGAATCCAGTATAATATTTTTTTTTTATTTTGTTAAAAATCCTAAGCGACTTTACCAAAGAACAGTAATTTAACCGAGTTATTTTTTGATTTTGTAAACGGTCTTATTGCTTTACCAATAACAATTATTACTTACGAGTTTGAAATTTTTACACTAGATGCCGCTTCAGAATAAAGCTTTAATCACTCAGTAATTATAAATTCCAAATGTGTCAAAATATTGACACGAATGCACATTGTTTTTTCTTATTTTAGTTTATCATTCGGTTTCGATTAATTTTAGAGAACGAATGAGGTTGCCTTATTTGATAATTACAAAGATTTTATAAATTAAAAGTTACTAAAAAAAACGTGCATAATGCCAACAATAGGTGTAAAAAGAGATTTATTATTTGAAGCACTAGGAAAAAGTTATAGTAAGATTAATACATATGCAGATTTAAATTTCCTTAAAAACTTTAATACATACTTTATATTTTATCAGCCGATGAAGAATTTCAAACGTTATGCTTTGCATTTGGTCTAGAATTAGATGAAGTAGTAAGTATGCTTTTGTATGAATTCTTATCAGAATTTAAAAAAAATCTCCACATGTTAGACAACAGAAAAGCAAATGTTAACCAAAGAACAAGGTGAAGTAGATGCCGCAAAAGATGCTTCTGAAGAAATTATTTATCGAATTGATATTCCTGCAAATCGATATGATTTACTTTGTCTTGAAGGACTAACAACTGGTATCAAAGTATTTCAAGGAATGTATGTAATATTTCACAAAAATTCTATGAACTTTTTTTCAATGCTTAAAATATTTTCATGATAGCATAAAGCCGCCTAAATTTATTAAGGTTGAACCCAAAAATGGACCAAAAACAAGACAAGAATTGAGAATATTGCCAAATACAAGTAAAATTCGGCCATTTGCTGTAGCAGCCGTGTTAAGAAATATTCATTTCAATCAAGATTCTTACAACAGCTTCATAGATTTACAAGTAAGTAGAAAATCTTATAAATTAAGGTATCATTTAGTAGATATCGATTTTAGGCGGATATTATGTTTTAGGACAAGTTACATCATAATATATGCCGTAAAAGAACTCTGGTTGCAATTGGAACACATGATTTGGATACAATCCAAGGTCCTTTTACGTATAATGCAAAAGCTCCTGAGGACATTAAATTCATTCCCTTAAACCAAAGTAAAGAAATGACCGCTACAGAACTCATGGAGTTTTATTCCGTAAGTATTTTTCTTAAGAGAAAAATATAACATAACTTTTAATTGCTTAATTTTTATTTTAGACTCATGCCCAACTCAAACAGTACTTGCCAATTATTCGAAGTTCTGCGGTTTATCCGGTTATATATGATGCGAACGGTGTAGTTTTGTCTCTACCACCTGTGATAAACGGTGATCATTCAAAAATTTCTGTTAATACAAGAAACGTATTTATAGAGTGCACCGCAACCGATTTAACAAAGGCTATTGTAGTTCTAGATACAATAGTGTGCATGTTTTCATCTCATTGTGCTAAGCCATTTACCGTTGAGCCATGCAACGTTATTTATCCTAATGGAGAAATATCAACTTTTCCAGAACTTAATTATCGAACCGAAAAAATTTCACCAAAACAAGCAAACGGACGCATTGGAATTGATCAAACACCTGAAGAAATCGCTCAACTCCTAACGAAAATGTATTTGGAAACGGAACTTGATGCTGATAAAGATCTTATAGTTCAAATTCCTCCAACGAGACATGATGTAATTCATGCTTGTGATATCTATGAAGATGTTGCGATTGCATATGGATATAATAATATCAAAAAATCTTTACCGTCTTTTATGCATATAGCTAAACAATTTCCTTTGAATAAATTAACCGATCAATTGAGAGAACATATAGCACAGGCAGGTTTTACTGAAGGTTTGACATTTACTTTGTGTTCCAGGGATGATATCGCAACAAAAATGAATAAAAAAATCGAAAATATTCCAGCTGTTCATATTTCAAATCCAAAAACTTTAGAATTTGAAGTAGTACGAACAACATTGATACCGGGATTGTTGAAAACTCTTTCGGCCAATAAAAAAATGCCTTTGCCTTTAAAATTATTTGAAATCACTGATTGTGTAGTTACAGATGAAGGGAGTGAGGTTGGTGCCAGAAATGAACGTCGTCTTTGTGCTATTAATTGCAATAAATCTGCTGGATTTGAAGTTGTGCACGGTTTATTAGATAGGGTAATGCAACTATTAGAAATACCTTGGAAAAAAGATAATGGTTATCATTTGGAAGCAAGTGAAGGTAAAGATTTATGCTTTTTATACATTTTTGCAGAGATAATATAATTTTAATATTTTAGATCCAGCTTATTTTCCTGGTCGATGTGCTGATATTTTGTATCGTAATATTGCGATTGGTAAAATTGGTGTACTTCACCCAACTGTCTTGCATGCATTTGAATTGACTCATCCATGTTCAGTTGTCGAAATTAATATTGAACCTTTTGTTTAAAATTTATAAAAAAGACAAATTAATGTAATTTCATATTAATTTATTTCAAATATACAGTTAATTTTGAAAACGATTTTTCTTTTTTAAATTAATTATCTAAAATTATTATTGACATAAAATGACGGAAAAAATCAACAGAACGAATAAAAAATTTACCAGATACAATTTGTGTCAAATTTAAACAGATGTTTTAAAACAAATAAGTATGTATGTACTACAATGGTTAAAATAATTTTAATATTTTCCATTCCTAAATTAACTAAAAAACTGGCAATTCGATTGAGTTAGTTAATCGTTTTAAAATAATAACAAAAAATTATTTTTGAAACAATATATGTATGTATTTTAAAGGATATTTCTATATTAGGTTTACATTATTTAGGTTTTCATCATAAACAATACCTTTATGTATAATAAAAGTTCTACATTTATTTTGTTTATAGCAAAAAAATTAAATAGAAAAATGCAAAAATTGCATAAAACTTAAAGAGAAATTTTTTTTATTTTATAACCACTTTAAAGTTTGATTTTATTAATGCAACTTTGAATTAATTTTTATTTTTACTCTGGTTAAATGATCTAAACATTTATAGCCAAAGTTACCCAACAAGATCCAAATCCAAATCATCTATTTCTAAATCCGAGTCTATTTCATCGGCTTTTGTTGTGGCGGCTATCGTTGCAGCTACTGATGCGGCAATAGTTGAACCTTTTATCGAAGAATTAATTAATTCATTAAGTTTTTCTTCACTTGTAGATTCTATTTGTGAATGAAAATTCGATTCTATCATTGCTTCATCATCCGATGTGTTGAAATTTATTGCTTCATCGTCTGATGTTGGAACTTGTGCTGTTTTTGTTGGCAATATTGATGGCGTTGTTCCATTACTTTGCACATTGATAGTTTTTAACTCTTTTTTTAAGTCATCATCAAAATTAAACACATTATTTGATTCTAAATTTTGCATTTCTTCCAATGGATTCCTAGAAATGTTCATTGGTATTAAAAGTGCATCATCTGCTGGAATAACTTTCTGTTGTGTCCTCTTTAAATATTCTTCAACTTGAATTGCATTTTGATATCCAGGAAATAGATTTTCGTATTTATTGGGATCGGCTAAACTTTGACCGGCTTTTTCATTAATTTTTTTTAATTCGACACGCCATAATTCAACGACCTCTGAAATTTTACTGGGAATGTATGTTCTGGCAAAGAATGCAGCTTCGGGTAACCGATTTGTTTTAATTAATATATCCAAACAACCCTCAATATCTCCTAACAGGAATGTTGATAAAAATGAAATGTTATATCGATCATTTTTATTGCATGTTTCACTTAATGATTTCAATAATTGGCCATCACCAGAACTTGTTGCTAAGAGTAATAGACCACCATAATCTTGAGCGTTTTCTAAACATTCTCTAACGAGCTCCATATTGTTTTTTCTTGTAGCTACATCGGCCAACTGTGACCATTTTTGAGGGTTTTGTGATTCGCGAGCCAAAATAACTGCTGTATTTAAATCTCCAATTTGTAACGCCAAATCAAATTTGTGATCAGGATCTGTTGTTACTTCTAGTGCTTGTAATTTATACCCTTGTTTTTCCAAAAAATGTGCAACACGTGTTCGATGTTCTTTCGGCACTGTAGCTAGTACACGATCAGCAATCTCCAAATCTCCTCTCATTACAGCTGTTTGATATTCAAGAACAGATAATTGAAGCGAAAAACTTGTTACGTTTAATTCTTTATCTCCCAAATATAACCGGTTATCTTTTGGTACATATCCTAGAAGATACATGGTTCTGTCTAAATGAGATACGGTAACGATTTCTCCACCAACGAAATAATTAATACGATTTACAGAGTTTGTATAGATAAAGCAATCACCAACCCAAATACCAGTTTTCACTTGCTCACTTATCTCACCAACTACATCAAATGCATCTTCTATACCATCATCTCCAATTGCTGCTTTCGTTTCTAATGCATTCGATATCGTAGTTGTATCAACACTCAAAACAAAAAATGACTCATCAGTTGCTAAACAAACAAGTGTACCGCTCTCATTCCAAAATATATGCCTTGGTTGAACTTCAATTCTACGGACTAATGTTAACGATTCCCAGTCATAAAAACCAAAACCAGAAGAAGTTTTAACTCCTAATAAATAGCCTCCGAAAATATTTTCAGCACCACATTCTGGAGTAAAAGTTTTTCTTTCTTTAAAATTTCTGAAAACTTTAATACTTCCAATACTTTCTCGAATTGCATATTCAGAACTTTCCATTGCCCAAACAAATTCTTTCGCTGAACCAAAAGCTTTATTTCGCAAAGCCATTGATGTATATATTATATATTCTCCATCACCACAAACAACAACGAACCGGCCATTTGGATTATGGGCAATAGTTTGCGGATATATTTCACAAGCACCCATGTCTTTTGTTGCAACTGGAAGTCTATCTCCATCTTTAATTTCAGTGCCTTCTGGCAATGCCTTTAAATTTACTTGCTGTAATTCTGAATGTTTTGCCCATATTATTTTACCACCATTTACGTCCATAGACATTGCAGGTTCTTCCCTACCAACTTTTATAATAATAGATCCTTCATCGTAACCCAAAGCAACATTATTTGTGCCACGCATACAGGCAATAGTCCAAACCCTTTCAAATCCATAATTAAGCAAAGTTTCAAGTCGGTAAGTTCCAGAATGCCAAATTCTTACTGTTCCATCTTCTGAACCTGTTAAAACAATTGGTAACTCCGGATGAAAACACACCGCTGAAATATTTTGAGCATGACCATTTAGTGTTTGAACACATGTTTTGTTTTGGTAATCCCAAATTTTAACCAGTCTGTCATCTGCTCCAGAAATCAAATAAGGCTTATCACCGCCGTGATAATAATCCAAACAATTTACTCCTTTTTCATGTCCATCTAATGTGAAATTAGCCAGGTTTGAACCTAACTGCCAAACTTTAACTGTACGGTCTAAGGATGCAGATGCAAAAGTATTATTGTCCTTTGGGTTAAAAACTATTTGCATAACATAGTGGGTATGTCCTTCAAATACTTTTTGGCATGCCCACATTTTTTCCCAATTCCATAATTTAATAAGCATATCGTCACTGCTGGTTAAAATTATAGGCTGTGTTGGGTGTACAGCTATGCAACGTACATAATCAGAATGCGCTTCAAAAGAATGCACTTTTTCCAATGTATTGTAATTGAAGACTCTTATTTGCATATCGTCAGATCCAGTAATTACCCAATTTTTCCTCGGAACAAATTTTGCTGATCTTACTGGAACATCGGAAACTTCAAAATCTTTGACTAATTGTTGATTTTCATAGTTCATGACGTGGACGTGTCCATTATAAAGCGCACAAAGCATCCATGGTTCAGATGGATGTAAATCCACACATTTAACTCTGTCGGATCTCGATGTTAATCGACGTTTAATATCCAATCTTAACGGCATTTTTAATTATATTTTTTTTATAATTTATTATGATTACTAAAAATTTGCTTCCCGTAAAATTAATGGATGACACAAAGTATATGACACAAAACACGACTTCGACGACAGTAAATGTCAAAATTTGACATTAGAAATGTCTTAAAAATGTCGAAAATAATTTAGAATTTGGAAGTGGTCACCCTGGTGAGAAATATTGTGCTTATACAGCGCCAACTATGTTTCGTATGTTAAGTTTTTTTTTATGTTATTAAGCTCACCACATAGTTGCGCTAGTGAGCATCCTGTATCCGGATTGAAAAATTGTGAAAAGTCGACATGTCGTGATATCGTTCGATTGAATTTAATTAAGAAAATAGTGCTTAAAACGTTGAAAATCGTACGGTAATTATTAAAAAAGAAAAATTTAATATTCGCTCTATCAAATACAACCGAAATTATATGGATTACGGCATTTTTTCAGCATAAAAATTTCAAAATAAAATTTTGTGTGATAGCCTTCCTTCTTTTTTTCTATCCCATAATTTTATGTCGATGAAATCTCGAAATTCGTTCGCTTTTATTAGTGTATTAGTGTGCACATAAAAAATTTTTAAATGGAAAAAATAAAATCTGACGAATTCGAATTTAATAATTTTTTATTAAAGAAAAAAATATAGTTTTAATAAAATTTAAAAAAAAAAAAAAAGAAGGAAGAATTTGAAATTTTTTTGTTTTTTTTTTTTTTTTTTCGTAAAATAATATTAGTATTTAGTAATGACTGGAAATTTTTAGAAAAGGAAGGAAATGTATAGCTTTAACCCTACCTTGCATACTTTTTTTGCTAATTCAAAAAAGTTTTTCATAATTAAATAATTTTTTTGTTTATAATTAAAATTCTTAATTTAGGAATTTTTAAGTGTGTGCATTATTTTATATATATAAAAGGAATATAAAAAAGAAAAAGGAAAGAAATTATAAATTAAAATTAAGAAAAATGAATAATGAATCTGATAAAAAACCCGACACAAGTGTATGTAGTACAGCAGTACCAACAATAGTTACAACACAGACGCAAACAACGTCAAAACAGCAACACCAACACCATCAAAAAGGAAATAAAAATTGTAGTAGTGTTGGTATTGGTGGTCAAAATTTAAATAATATTCCTAATAATATAAATAGTGGCAGTAATACAGATAATATAAAAAATTTGAAAAATAATAGTAGTGGTAATAAAAATAGCAATAGTGTTAATAAAACCAATACCAATGCGAATACGAATTCATCATCGAAACTGAATAATAATAATAACAACAACAACAACAACAGTAATAATAGCAGCAAAAATTTAAACATTAGTAGCGGTAGTAGCGGTGGATTTAACAATAGTAATAATAATATAAATAATAATAGTAATAGTATTGGTGGTGATAGTAGTAATAATAATACATCAAATGTAAAAAATATGTCGAAAAGTAAGACTATATCATCATCGTCATCATCAACAACAACAACATCAAATAATAATAACAATAGTAATAAAAGTAATTCATTGAATTCCTCCAATATAACATCAAATCAAACATCAACAACGGAAAACCCTTCAATTTCATCCTCTGCTACTGTTTCTGCCGTTAAAGCAATGACAATGCCGCAGCAACAGCAACAACAACAACATCAAAATGTAAATTCTGCTGATGTGCAATCTAATGCTAGTACAATACCAGCATTATCATCATTATCCGCAACAAAGTCCAATGGGTAATAATAAATTATAAATAAATTACATTATGCATCGTTTAGGTTAAGATTTTGAAGGAAGTGGGAAATTTATTAAATATCAAAAATTTAAACATTCCTCCTCATTTCCCCGAGATTTATTCTAAAGTAAAATTTTACCACATTCTCATCTATCTGGAAATTTCTTATGTTATCTATGTAAATGTCTCTCTTAAAGAAGAGTTCTACAACTTTTTTCTTTACAATTTGTTTCCCCCTACATACATAAAATCAAACCCATTTCTTCATTGCAATTTCACCTAGGCATCTACAAACTTACCTTATTAATAACTAATTTTCATAAACTTAAATTTTGCTCCTTAATATTCTTATATTAAATATCATTTATTATTTTCGTTTTACGTTCCTTTTATGTTTAAAACAAAAACCAAAAAAAAAAAAAATTCACTTAATTAATGTACACAGCTCTACCGGTGGAAAAAATCATAAAAATCAAATTAGCAGTAATAATAGTAATGGAGGAGCTGGAAATAATACTATCAACAACAACAATAATAATAGCAGTAATAAACAACAAATAGGAAAATCTGTAGCAGGTGCTGCTTCAAAATCCAATATTTCAATTTTAACGCCACCACCAGCTGCCTCTACCAGTTTAACAACAAATATTTCATCACCATCTTCGTCATCTATTTCTTTATCTTCAAATGCCAGTATACAACAACAACAGCAACAACAACAATTACAATTACAACAAAATGCTGCTGCTGCTGTTGCAACATCAGCATCAGCATCAGCTGTAAATAATTTAATATCGTACGCCTTACAAAATCAAAATATAGAAAGTTTAGTTAATTATAAATTAGCTAGTGATACTTCCGATACTGATACAGAATTACAACATCGTGTTACAGATTTATCAGAATCGGATGAGGAATCTGTGTCTGAGGTAAGGATTTTGTTTTATTTTTGTTTTACGTTGTTTGGTTCTTTTCGTATGTAAAAAAAATTTATATAAATCATTTTTTTAACAGTTGAAAACATTGAAAACTTTGCTATTAAGCAAGAGTAATGTTTTTTTTTTTTTTTTAAATTTATTTTATATGTAAAAAAAATTATCAAGCCGAGCATAGATGCTTTATACACTTAATTAAGAATAAATAGAAATACTTAAATTTATTAAAATAAAAATTGCTTAACGTTTCATAAAATCAAAAACTGATTTCATTCCTACCCTTAAAAATGTGATAAGTTTGAGAAAACTAAAAAAAATAATTATGAGGCATAGAAACATTACACTATTTGTAGATGGTATTTGAATTTTTTTTATAATCATTGAATAAATCTGAAATTTGATTGTTCCAATAAATGTATCTTAAACTAATAGAGTTTAGGTACCTACCTAAATTTTAATATTATATGGAATACTTTCTGGTTGTCAATCAGGAGGAAGTTCGGATTCAAATAAAATCCATTTTTGTTTGAATTTAAAATATCTAGGTATTTTATACATACTTATTATTCAAGTTTAAATAGATTGCATTATCTGCAAGAACATTATAAACATGTTAAATATGTGAGGTCAGTAGGAAATAATATTCCAAATATTACCTAAACTTTATAATGCAATCTAACTATTAATAATTTAAATTACCAGTAAAACCAAGTGCAATTACAGAAATATTGAAATTTTTTGTATATTTAAATATGATTCAAAGGTGTTGATTTAATTTGCATAACGTTGCAAATTTGATCATAATATTCTAGAATCTAGAGAGGTAACAGATTCATGCATCATATTTACATATAAATATTTCTAATTAATTGTCACTGGTGCTTTAATTGTAATTATTACTATAAACTCTTCTACTTCTCATATTTAAAAAAAAAATCAAGCCATAAATCGATTTTTAAAAAAAAATTTCTCTTGATTAAAGCTTTTATTAATTTTTTTAATAATTATTACCTAGGTCATAAATACGATTTAAAAGTATTTCTTTTCCTATCATTTAATTTGTTATCTATACTAGAAATCAACGATTGTACTACTTTAATTGAAATTGATTTTCAATCAATATATAAAAAAAATTATATAGTGCCAGACTATCTACCATATATTATCCTTCTTCGTCTTCTCTTTAAATTTTAAATTAAAATTACGTCATAATACAATATTATCTTCGTTTATGTATATATATATACACACAAGTATGTGCTAATATAAAGATGTACAAATTTATCTACATACTTATATATTTTGACCATTTAATGCGTCATGCGCTCTCTTATATTCTTTACTAGCAGTTTTCGATTTTTATTTCAACTTTTTTTTCTTCTTTTATTTTCCTTTTATTTTGTTTCATTTCATTTTAATTTATTACTTATTTCTTATAATATGGGATTAAAATCAGGTATATTTGGTGATCTGCTTCAATATTCTTTTAATTTTAATTTTATTTTTTGCATTTGCAATATTTAAACAGAAGAAAATAAAAGAGAAGGTAGAAAGAAGAAAATTGTTCTAAAAAAACATGACTTTAATAAAGATTTTCTGCTGAACATGCTTATATGTACATTAATATATGTAGGTAATGCACCTACCTACTTAGTTATGGCAGTTACTTGTATTCCTTTTTCAATATTATAAAGGTACTTTGCTTTTCAATTTACAATTAATGAAGTAGTAGAAATAATATGCAGAAAGAAAGCCTTAAAGTGACACATAAAGCAAACACAATTAATAGACCCTTTACAATAAATATATTGTAAGTTGAGATTAGGTGTACTTGCAAGGATTTTTATAATACTTTACTTTTCTTAAGAATTTTAAAATTAAAATTTTCATTGGAATTGTTTTACTTAGTGGCGGCATCTACTTTCTAATATCAATTAAAATATTTTTGTAATTGATCAATTGTTTGAAGAATAAAAATAAATTTTAGTGCACAACTCATAAGATTTTAAGAAAATATTGTTATTTTTTTTTAAATAATAATTTATTAATTAAATATTAATTTTCTTTTTAAAATACTTAAATAATCTTTTTAAAAGAATAAGTTACAAAAAAAAAAAAAATGAAGTGTTAGAAATGAAAATTGTATGAAATAAAAAGATATTATCAATAAATTTATTGTAATACGTGAATTTTTATCAGCTCGTATAACACTCATACAGTAAAATTTGTTATGTACATAATAAGTAATACAAATATAACATTAAGTACCTATATTGTGAATTTAGTACATTAGTACATTTTCTACAAAAAAAAATGTACATTGAAATTTTTTTTTTTCTGTTATATTTTGATTTTGGCATATTTTTGTTCATTTTCTTTGTCTACTTGAAAGTACATAAGTAAAATAAATTTTTATTGTAGAAAGGTGTAATTCTTTTTTTTTAAAAAATAAATTATATTTAGAAAGTTTAAGCATATATAAATTTATTTTTGACAATTTAATTATAAATTTAGAAATATGTTCTTTCAATACAACAACCATTCATGTATTTAAAGACATGTCAAGGTCAAATTTCAGATAATTTTAATATTAATATACTTAAGTAGTAAAATACAATTGTTTTGTTTAATAAGCAAATAAGCTTGTTTTAATTTCAATATGAAAATTGAGTATATACATATTTCGATATTGTTTACATTTTCGAAAATATTCCCAAATAGTCTTTATATGCATGTAGCTAGTATTGCAAGTCAATGCAAAATTTCATAATATTTTTATGTGTCTATTTTATCAAATTAAATTAGAAGAACATTTTTTGTTATTTTACAACTTATTAAGTATTTTTTATATTAAAAAACTTAATGTAGAGCAACAAAATCCTAGTAAAATCATTAAGTAATTTTTGCTCATTATTTTTTTTTAATTTTAGTTTACTTAATTAGGCACCCAAAAATACTAGCTAATAATAGACACCTAAGTAAATTTAAAGCTAAAGTTACAAAAATTTTTATAAAATAGGAAAAAAGCCATTAATGAACGTGTTAATCTAAATTTTGATATTTAATTGAAAAGAAAAAGAAAATTTTGCTATTACAATTAATCTTCGTAACTATTAGGGCTCAGGCAGGCATGCAATTCTTAGTTTTGTAATTGCTGCTAGATTCTAGAATCGTTGCACGTACATCTAACCAACTAAATTACAGCGTTAGTTCAAATCGAATGCCTTATATAAAAATTGTAATCATTTTGTAAAAAAAAATTCAAAACTGTTTGATTACTTAATTGCATCCGACCTTACAGTTGCAATCACACAGATATAAAACTAAAAATTGCATATCTATCTGAACCCATTTATCTCAAAAAAGTTACTAATACACTTTCTTAATATTTCTACCCCAAAATTTCATGAAATTCCATTGGAAAATGTTACTTTAATATTAATTTCTCCCATTTCAATATATTCGTGGGAGCTCTTTCTAGACTAGTAGAACATTTTAGTACAAAGTTCACGAATAAATTATGTGGGTGTATTAATTTAGATATTTAGTATACCTTTTTTTAAAATATCTAGTTATTTAGTCTATTACACCATTAATTCAATTTAAAATAATTTCTGAAATCTGCATTTGTTCCTTTAGCTTAAAAATTTAATTTTATTCACAAAATTCAAAAATTTTGTATTAAGTACCAAAGTATGCATATGGGTATCTAGCTTATATGTACTTTCAGAGTGTTTTTTTTTTTCCTTTACTGCAAAAAAAATACAATAAATTTATTGTCGTCGTCGTCTGTCGTATTTTATCACTTTTTTATTACATATTATATTCATGGAAACAGAGATAGAAACTTAAATACTTTTTAGGTTAGATAAAATAGTTTTTGTATCAATTTCGATCCACAATTCAAAAGTAAATTGATAGTAATGGTTGGAGCACTACATATTTATCAGATATTGACTAAAAAATTTTACAAACATAAATGAATTAGAGTGGATAAGTTAGAAATCTGTGCATTTTTTTTTTTGACAAATGATGCTTTTACTGGCAGAGATGATTTTTTCTCTGAAAAGAGAAACTCTTCTTTTAATGAAGAATTAACTTCTTCTCAGTGCGATTCCATAAAATATATTCTTTTTTATAGACATAATTGAACTATTAAATTGAACTTTTATAAAAAATTTATTGAAAATGTAATATTATGTAACTGTTATATTAATCTAATGTAATAATATAACAAAATCTTTTGTCTAGGCAAAATATGTTATCAAATATGTTTGGTCGTTTTTAAATCTAGGGAGGATCGTTTTAAAATCTGGGCGGGTTTCTAAAAGTAAAATTTTGAAACGTATGTGTCATTTAATATGTAGTTATTATGAATAATATGAAGTAATAATGAATAAATAAATTAACAAAATAATATTTTTGTATAATATGAAAAACAAGCATATTTAGATTTATAAATTATGCCATTTATTCTACCACTAATTTGTATAGGTACCTAATGTTTTTAAAATTAAATAGGAACTCCTGACTTTTTAAAACTTATATCGTTTAAGATCAGAACTAACAGCAATTTTTAAATTTCTATTTTAAAATTAAGAAAAAAATTAACACTTACATTTTATGATATGTAATATTGAGGAAAAAATTTTTGATACAAAATTATTTATTGTATGCTCGTACTCATTTCTTCTATAGAGAACCTACGTAATTATATCTACATGCATAGGTACATATTATATTAAATTCTATCCCAATGCATATGTATATGGAAACAATATAGAAAATTTAACTTTAATTTGAACACACATATGCATGGATTTACATTTGTTTACTACTACATATGTACCATAAATATGGGTGTGTATGTAACTAGCATATATATATATTATAAAAATATGTTATATTGTAATATTTAATTATGTTAGATTAAATGAAATTTTCTTAAAATATTTCTTCATATTATTATGAAAAAAAAAAAAAAATTTTTAATA